CTACTACTACTACTACTACTACTACTACTACTACTACTACTACTACTTACTACTTACTACTTACTACTTACTACTTACTACTTACTACTTACTACTTACTACTTACTTCTTACTTCTTACTTCTCACCACTACTACTACTTACTACTTACTACTTACTTCTTACCACTACCACTACCAATACAACTACCGCTACCACCACCACCACCACCACTACTACTACTACTACCACTACTACTACGACTACTACTACTACCACCACCGCCACCACCACCACCACTACTACTACTACTACCACTACCACTACCACTACTACTACTACTACCACCTACTACTACTACTGCTACTACTACTACTACCACTACTACTACCTACCTACCTACCTACCTACCTCCCTCCCTCCCTCCCTCCCTCCGACGACTACGACTACGACTACAACTACAACTACAACTACGACTACTGCTGCTGCTGCTACTGCTGCTGCTGCTACTGCTGCAGCTACTCGCTTCTTAGCCGATTAGCAGATTATTCAGGGGAGGTGGACCTCATGAGCGGTATCTCATATCTTCTTGACCTTGTTGACCTACCTACCACGTTGGGGGGGGTTATAACTCAGGTCTTGACATTAAAAAATTTACCTGGGGGACGGCAAACTGGCTGAGTCTCGCAAACCCACTAATTATGAACTATGTCCAGTTCCCCGGTCCAGCATAACCTTAAATTAACCCACCCCTCCTCCACAGGCCAACCACCCTGACTGTTACAATTTATTCCGCAACATCCCGCATCGCCTCAGACTGGGAGCATGCCTTAATGGCTATTTTCCAACGTGATTTCATCAACATTCTCGACAAATTCTCGGACAAAGACATTGAGAACAATTGATTGCGAACTGAGTAAATACCCCACTCAATTGAAGGGTACATGTTTCTTTGTCATGCGCAGCAGACTGCTGGAGTGATGAAGTTGTTGTGCTCCCTGGCGAGCCTTCAACAATGAATGCAACACCTCCACCCGTTGCTGATGATACAAGTGCGACGACGCGGATCCAAGATCGAGCAAAAGCCTATCCCGCATCTTCTGCACCCGATCGAAGTTATAGGCCCCACTCTTCACCAGTAGCGCAGTGCGATTGCGATCACTGATCCGCCATGTCCCTCCACATCTCCTGAAAAAGCTCCATGTCCCGGCAGCGCACATCTTTCGAGAGGTCTGTGTGCAAGAGGCCAACCACACGTAGGAGATCTGATGCTCGCGCCACTAGCTTCAAAGGTGTTGAACGATGTTGCTTCAGGGCCTTCAACAACGTTGACAAGGAATGCGCTTCGGGCATCAGAACACCTGGAAGGCTGGCAAATGCAAGGTCCAGCTTCAACTTTAACGGAGCACTTTCAGTTTCATGGCATCTGCTCAAACCTATCCACCATACAAACACAAATCGAGATCAAAAAGTATATATATATACATATCCATTTCTTAAATGCAAGGTTGTGTGTTCTCACGTCTTGTTTCACTAAGTGCATAGGATATTTCCTTTTGCACGTTTGCTTGTAAAGGATTACACATTGGAATATGTAAGCAAACAAGTGAGTAAACCGCAAATGCAGAATGTGGGGAAGGAAGGTGAATAAATCGCACATGCGACATCATGCGACATATGAAAGGGGGAGGCTCAGAAAAAGCATCAAAAACAGCAAACAGTATCTAAGAAGTGAGTCTTGGGGGCGTGCTAAGAGGAGTCTGGACATAGTCTGGGCATATTGTTGTTTTGTTTCTGTGTTTTTGTTGTCCTTTTCCAAATTTGTGTTGGATTACTTTTTGTGGCCTTATGGTTCTTAAATTTTTAATATTACTGGTGTGTTTGCAGGAGCTTTGCGTTCTGCTTACTTTTCTCATCGTTCTTGTCATGCTTAAAGCTTATATATATATGCTGTAAGATATGTTCCATAAACAACAACAAGTGCAAGGGCCAGTGTTGCAGTTTTCTGAGACGCAAATCCCATGGCAGCCCCTTCTGCAACTGTACTACTCCTACTCCTGCTCCTATTGCTCCTGCTCCTCATCCTCCTGCTCTGTCAAGTTGCTGCTGCTGCTCCTGCCGCTGCTGCTGCTGCTGTTGCTGCTGCTGTCACTATAATCCACTGAGCCCCCCAAAGAAACCCCGTTGGCCATGCAGAAAACGTATCTTCTCTTGCAACAACATGTTGCGACGGTTGTGGTAAATCCAGCATGGAACATGATGTCTGAGGCAGGTTTGTGTGTGTGTGCCCAAATTTATCTTGATCTTCTACAGGCCAACACCCTCAGCCGCAGAGTGAGGCCACTGAAAGTATTCACATAATGCAGCCCATCAGCTTAGTTTTGATGCGAAACGGATCACCTTTTGAGATGGAAGATGATGGAAGCCCTGGGATGATCCGGCCTATCAGGAAGGGTCTCAAGTTGTCTAGATCCTGCACCGCTGCAACTTGAAAGCCATCGAAATCTGCCGAGCTCTCTCGAACCATCACCTGGAGCTGCCGAAAACGGTCGGCATCCTGAAGGAAGTCCAGCTGCCGATCTCCTGGACGTTGTTCCAAACCGAAAAGGAGTTGAAATACAGGGATGGTGCACCTGCCCATCCTGCCCCAGTTCCCAATAGCAATCCAAGAGTTACAATATGCTACAATTTGCGTACATTAATATATAGTATGTACAATCTAAGCATGTTTATGCATATCTTGTATTACATCATGCAATGTTTTCATATCAAATGAAGTTGCAAAGTATGCAATCATCAAAAAGTCACAGGAACTCAAACAGGAACCAGGAACCAGCAAAACACGTGCTCCAGTTTTTTAATGCAACAAACAGAGAGTCCCCATCACAATAAGAACAAAGGGTCCTTCTTCGAGCATCTGTATGAGCGGCACTTGCTGCATGATGCTGTGCAAGGCAGCTGCTTCTAACGACTCGACCTCCAAGCCCAAAACATGGGACTTGGAAAACCTCTGGATGCGGCTGAGTTGGCAGCAGCTCCAATCCAGCGACTTGTGCTCACAAAGTTGCTCTTCGAATTCCCGCAAGGACTCATCTGCAATCAACAAGCTCCTTTTCTGCAAAGTGGTTAGCAAACTCTCCAAGTCTGACAAGACCGTGGAATAGCCAGCAAAATGCACCACCGCCTGCAGGTCCGCCTCCACCCTCTTGCAATGTTCAGGATCAAACAGCTCCTGGTGCCAAAGGGTCATTCAATCTTTCAGCTACGCTAAGTGACGAACAAAAGCATCCTGCCAAACACGTGATTCAGCAAGCAAGCTCAGTTTGCGTGACTCCCCCTGCTCCATGCTCCTGTTGAAAGTTGCCTAGTGAAGGAGCAACTCGAAGCTCCAATGCCAACCATGCAGTGTCTTTGCAGTCTTGACGGTCTCTTCCAAGTTCCAACAGTTCTTTGGCCCTTGTAAGGTTGAGCTCTCTGGACAGCAATGACGCAAACTCTCCTGTCAAACTCCCCACCACAAGGGAGGGAACCCCACATGGATAAGTTGTGGCAAGTGCATTGACTTGTAAGTTGCTCTTGCTTCTCTTCAGGATGCACATGTTGCAGCTCTGGGGAGGGTACGGAGGGTAGGTGGTCATTGATCCAGGCAACTGTCAAGCTTTGATGCCATGCTTTAGCTGTGATTAAACGTCCCTGTCAACCTGCCCTTCACATTACTGTAAGACTTAAGTCTTAAGTCACCACCGCATCTCATTGTCCCGCCTCCCCAGGCCACTCGAATCTTCTCCACCGTCTCTGGAATCGACACCTCCATCGAGACATTCATGCCCTCAAGCACTGCTGTTCGGATGATGGGCGACATGTCCAGGGCCTCAAAGTCCAGAACTGGTCCAGTATGTTCAGTCCAGGGACCATTCATTTAATTATATACCATGATTTAGCCGTGCTAAAAGCCCAACGAAACCCAGTCGTGGCTTAGGAATCTCACTCTGCCAGGTCAGGTGGTTGCTGGGATAGATCGGTGCACTGCACCTTTCATCCATCACGAGCCATGGACAATCAATGCCAGCCTTGAGCACTCTTGGGTCAGGTGCCTCCCGCAGAAGAGCTTGGCATCTTGTCCGCAATTCGCAAGCTGGTGCATGGCCCCAGGCTAGTTCCAGGCTCTCTACCTTCGCAGCTTCTCTAAGTCTTTCATTACTAAGCTTTCTTGTAATTAGTTCATCTTGGCAGTGACATGATTCGGAAGCTCAAATCTAATCTATTGGCGACTTTGTCAGAGATCTATCACCTAAGCCCATCGTCTGATCTTTCGTAGTTCAATTTTGCGGTTTTGTAGAAGTCTCATGGTCTTTCAACTGCCTACTTCCTATTTCTCAACCTCCAGCCTCCTTCAAGCTGCCTTCCAGCTGCTGTGCCAGCTTGGGATGCCAGGTCGCCAGTGTCCGGAAGCACTTAATTTTCTCCTTCCCCCTGCGCAATGCGCGGAGTTCACCACCCAGCTCGGAGAGGCCAGGGCGTTGCACGCTGAAGTGCAGGAGAGCAGCTTGGAAGGGCCCCTCCTGAATGCACCAGGTAGGATGGCTGTGGGAGTTGGGATCCATCGTATGTGGAAGAATAAGAACACCTGAAACCGGTTGGAGCGAAACAATCCTGACTACCCAATAGTACCAACATGTACCAACACGTTTGATGCACAAAATGATTCCTTCGAGAACCACACGGATGCTGTAGCTGTAGCAGGACAAGGTTTCTGGGAGGCAATAGGGTGACTTCTTAGGTGGGTCTGGTTCTCTGAGAGATTCGAGTGAAAAGCATTGAGGTCTATGGCCGGAATGGTCTTCTGCGCCATTTAAGTCAATCACTGTAGCTTTCCAGATGGATATGATAGATACCACTTCATGACTACGACTGCACGCATGCACCCCGACAGGACGTAAAGCTGGTGTCTGCTCTAACTGACTAATCTTTGAGGGTCCATTTCCAGGTTCCACATCTATCTTCAAAGGCTGGGCTATCGGCTACGAACATGTTTTCAGTCCTGTCTCGCCCCGTTCCGCCCGCCCGTCCCTGTCCTCCGAAAGCACAATGCAGTCGGCCAAGGAAAACTCTAGAGAGCAGAGTCTCCTTTGTGCGGCAGGTGGAGCCAACTGAAGATCCATTCATCAAAAAGCACCGCTGAAAGAGACTCAAACTTACAGTTCACATCCCAAGTGGTAGGCCCCACACACACACACACACACAGATATTTATATATATATACATACACATATACATATAGCTTTGATATCAAGGCCTTGGAGCCTTGGGGACTTCTGCCTGGGGGTGGTCTTTCGAAGTCGAAGAGGTTCACCCAATTATTCATTGGGTTAGTAATGCCCCTACGCAACCTGCCAAGGCGGCTGGTTCCGTGAGCCCCGGGCAGCCTCAACACCAAAACGTATGGAGGCGGCTCGCAAAATAAGACCCAGCGAAAAGCAGGTTTTAGTCGGTTATTCCTTCTACCAGTGAGTCTGGATGGCTACCTGCGCAAACTACTTACATATCGGCCATAGCCATATTTACCTTGAGCCCAGCTGAGACCAGCATCCGATAGTTTTCTTCCAACTCTTGGCGCAGCTGCAGGTAGAAGCCTTCCAACCTTGGATCTGACGCTCCGCGATTCAGGAACCAAAAAAATCCCAGAAGAAGAACCCGCCAAATATCAACAAGGACAATGCTGACAAGCATGAACACATCAATCTGAGGCCCATGCAACTGGCTGAACCGGCGCCAAGCCGGCAAACGCAAGCAAGCCTCGTCCTCGATGGCTTTTCGCCACCCGAGCGACGGCGTCTCGACCAGGTCTGCAAGCAAGGGCACGCAAAAAGCCTGCCAAAGGTTGATGGGCTGTTCTCCATCATCTACCTATCATTAACATCGCCGGACCCAGGCTAACTCTGTGAATCTAGAAAAAAATGCCAACGGAAAGCAAAAAAAGGCAACTACAGTACAAAAAGCAAAAGCAAAAAAAAGCAATGGGCCTAGTCTTGGCACAGCTTACCGCAGTCCCCTGGTGGCTGTGCTCCGTTGCTTCTTTTGGTGGGCGTCCTTTTTTTCGATTGTTTTTCGTTTTTTATGTGGGTGTCATTTTTTGTGCATGTGTTCGCTGTTTTGCTGTTTCACTTGTTTTATTGCTGTTTTTATGGGCGTGATGTTTTTTCGTGTTGTTGTTGTTGTTGTTGTTGTTGTTGTTTTTGCTTTTTCGGTTTGGTGCCTTTCGGGCGCGCATATGTATATTTTGTTTTCACTTTTTCGTTTGCCGGTTGTTTGCTTTTGGATTGTTTTTTTTGCTTTTGCTTGTTCATTTGCCTTTTTGCTTTTTGGATTTGTTTTTGTTTGCTTTTGCTTGTTCATTTGCCTTTTGGATGTTTTTTGCTTTTGCTTTTTCATTTGATGTTTTTGCTTTTTGGATTTGCTTTTATGTTAGTTGCTTTTTTCGTTTGCTATTTTTTGCTTTTTGGATTTGATCGTTTTTGTGTTTGCTTTTTTTCCGCTTTGTTTTGCCTTTGCTGTCATTTGGCAAAACCATCAGAGATAGCCTAAGTGGTTTTCTTAAGCATCATGATAGGAGTTACTGCTTCGATCAGCCAAACAAATGCCCAAACCTAGGTCGATATGGCTACATGATTCATGAAGCCAATGCAAGGAATGCGCTTGATTGACTTGCTGTACATAACAAAGGTGCAAAAACACCATGATGATAATGTTCCCCAGACTCGGGAAACGATGCCGCGTCTTGCAAGACGATATTGGTGCCTTCAGATTCTCACGATGTTTGTTGTCTTCCTTAACCTCACCTCAGCTTCGCTGTCTACCTGCGGGTTGTAGCATTGGTCATCTCAGCTGTGCCGTGCCTGAGACACATCTGCAACCTGCTCAATCCTGTCCAACAGCTTCGTGGCATCCTTCCGTGTGGCCAAAGCATAGTAGCGCTGGCACATCTCCCGAGCATGGGCCAAAACAAGCTGCTGAAAAGGCCACTCACCAAAAGGCTTCCTCAATGACAGCAGATTCTCCCAGCAGGAGTGGATGCAATACTTCTGGGCAACCCATAAAAACATGGTGCCTTCATCAACACTTGGTGAATGTCCTGATTTACAAGCACTCTGCTTTGATTTTGGGTGTTTTGGGTGGATTTGCGAAGGTAGATCCCATCACCGTTAGATTAATGCATCATGATGGTTGGCCTGAAGGCCCGGTGGTGGGAATGCAACAACAACCCCCCAAGGTACGAAGCACCAGTTACAATACAACTTCTTTCACCGCTTCCTTGGATTCAACCGATTCCATTAATTCCTACGTGTGGCTGGCTCCTATGCACATCACGTCTGAGAACTCACGTTGCTGCCGCACTTGGAAGAAAAGCAGCTAGCACTGTGGCAGTTAACAAGTTTCTGACCAGTGGGGGCATCATATGTTCAACACCTCGTGAAAATAAACAAGGCCACATGGCCCAAGCCCAATCTAGCACAGAGTCTGCGAGAGGACTTGTAAAAGGTCATGAATGCCTGCACAGCAAGAGGGCGGAGCCTACCTGAAGTTCTAGGAGCGCTCAATGTTTTAACTATGAAGCACAGGAATGCTGTTCATACTGCTGTTCATCATTAGTGCAAGCTTCTATTATCATGTGCACCACTAGGAGGCGAAAAGGGTCTCCGGGCCGTGGGAGAAATTTAAGAAGCTCCATACAAACCTCCCAAACTCAATCAAACTCGCTATGCCCACCTGCATGATTCAATAGCGTAGCCACAAACTCACCGCCCAAGCTGGCGGCTTCCATGAGCTCCAATGCTGGGAGCCAGGCTTCGAGGTGACAGGTGGGTTTCCGCAAGGCCACCTCTTCAAGCAGAGGAGTCTCGAAACTATTCAACTTATCCTTGTAATATACAGCATGTGGATTGAATTCTTGAAAAATCGTAAAGGAAGATGCAGCACCAAGAACGGACCCATTATGCCAGTGGAGGGGAACTCAATTCCGTTAGGTGCACTGTTGGATTTGACAAGACTATCCAACTTCTCAAGCCACCACACCTCCTGCTGGAGTAGCGTCAGCTCCACCTCCACCTGCGCAAGGCTTCCGCCCAGCCTCATTGACAAGGCCAGCGCCTCAGCGCTTTTGAGGCCACGCCGGCTCGTCCAGTTTGTCCTGAGGCCAAGAAGTCTCTGATGAACTGGAACCGCGGGGTTCACCAAAAGAACCCCGGATTCTTCTTACCTGTCCTAAGTCCTATCTGTTTGTGGTTCACTCTCTTGGGCTGTATGCATCTGGTCCTCACGACTCTCAGCAAGGTGACCGCCAAGCTGGGACACTTGGAGCCATCTCTCCGAACCACTTCGAGGAAGTCTTCAAAATGCGCAGCCCAGCGCGGGGTCAATGGTTCAATGACGCAGCTCCAAAACTGGTTCATGTCGAAACCTTCCTTGGCGATCCGACAAACCCCGCAATCACCAAGACACCCAAGAAGACTCCACGGGCTTCAGGGACATCAGCCAAGCCACTTGAACAGTTCAGGGGATCATGGGACATGTGCAAACCTAAACATATTACAACACATCTTGACCCATCCACGTGTCACTTGGAGTGATACCAGGGTCAGCTGGCCAATGAAAGCACGAAGATACTGTTAAGATACTGTACATTGTTGGGTGGCGTAGGGCGCAGGTAGGATGACCATAATTGCTTCATAAAGATGTGGTGCAACCTGGAACATTCTGTGAAGCTTATCCTTGCAGTAGCATATATAATTTCACAATATGTCTATACGGTTCTCATCCTTTCACACTTTGGCCTCTCCTGTAGTGTGTAGTGCAAGGCCCCATGGGTGAAAACCTCCAACTTCCAGGATCTTACAGGCTTGTCTGTGGCGGCGGTCCATTGACACTTGTGGCTGAATCAAAAGATCTTGCGCAACTGAATCCCATCCCTCGCGGTGCGGTGCGCACCGCAACAGTCAACAAGTTCGGTCTCTGCTAAGTCTCATGTTGTGGTGCCGCTTGCAGCAGTTGCGTGAGATTCTCCAAGCTCAGTGTTTGGCAGAAACGCCTCCCCAAAATCTGCTGCCGTCCTTGCGTCACCACGCGCAATAATTCCAAGAACGCATGGACTGAAGGGCACAAGTCCCCCAGAAGGGCTTCGACAGCTGCATACTCCAGAAGGGGCTGAACCTCGTCCTGACATGCAATGGCCTACGGACAGTTGCGTTAAACATATAGGCTTATCCGGTTATTCATCTAAACATTGATAGTGCAGCAAAGGGCAAAACACCCTCACCATAATTAGTAAAGGCAGCAATGTCATGTAATATCTATAATTATACAATGATTAATTACATTTGCATAAGCTGCACAACCAAAAATCTTTGCTTTTTTGTTGGTAAGTTGGTGCTCATCGCAGGCAATCGAATTTAGACAATGAGTAGGGAGGCACTTGAATTACAGACAAGGCTCGAGCCCAGAAAGAAAAGTATCCTCCTCCAGCTTCTGCAAAGGGTGCCGAGTTTCACCGACCAGTGATGCCAGAACCACACTCGACAGCATGCCTGGCCCAAGAGTGGTTGAATGTAAGAAACTCAGACTAGGGACGTCTAGATTGTCTAGATGGTGAAAATAGACTGTATACGCATATACCAATGCAATGTATTACATAGACATAGCGCTCTACTTAGCATGTTTGCGGTTTACCTCCGGCAACTGGCAAGCTCAGAGATGGAGTGCGCATGCACCACAAGCAAGGTCGATGCAACCTCGAAGCCTCAAACCTGCAGTGTATGGAACTACTCTATGTAGTTCCGTCTCCTCAATGTGCCAAGCAAGAAGGGACAAAGACGTGAAGACATTCCATGACTCCATGACCCTATGCCCGGCCTTCCAAGCAGCTCGGTAGCACTACATTGTCCAGGCTTGCTTGTGTCAAGTCTACTCGCACAGCCCCCAGCTGCAGCCGCCGTTCCTGGAAACATGGCCAGTCCAAACCTAGTGCAGCATGTAAGCTGCAAAGTGTTTCTGGCCAAAGGGGCAAGAATCAAAACTACTACTCCACATTGGAACCGATCTGCGCTTCCATGTGCTGGTCAAACCTCCTGGGTGGTTGTATGGTAAAAGGTTCCCATCACCAAGTGATTACCCCCCATTTTGATTGCGACCCAGTGTTTAGACTATGACGCATATGGTTGGGCACCCGCAACTGCCAATCTCAGTCAAAAGGCCAAAAGATCTTTCGAGGAGCATGACTGCGTGAGCAGGAGGAACCTAGGCAGACTGGGCATACAAAAGGCAAAATGGCAAAACCAAACCCTTTCGAAGCTTGGCAGCAAGTTCTTTCAGAAGCTCAAGCGGAAGTGACGCCCTCATAGGCCCATAGGCTCATAGGGCTAAAATGTTCACCCACACGGTCAGCAAACTACGGTGCAGCACATGCTGAGGAGACGGAAAAAAGGGGCCTGGGCTACAGAAACATCAGCTGCCTAGGGACAAGAGCTGCTTCGCACCGCACTCCATCACAACTTCGCGGTCCCAAGTGTAAGACCTGCAGCTCGGAATCTGCCCTTCTTAGGAGTCATGCTCGAAGCAAGAATTCAATTGCAAAACCTGATTCCCCTACAACAACTCCCTGAAACTCAAAGACTTGCTGGTCATGCTAAAAGCTCAACACATCAACTCTCAGGTGGAGCATCACACGACTCGCCTTCATCCCCCCCCGCAACTGCAGCTTCACCGACAATTGAGAATTCACATCAACAAAACCAAACAATTCTCTGAACGTTTCTGAACCTAGCACCCATCGAACTTCACAAGCTTTTTACATGCTTCCCCCCCAAAAAAAGAATACCAAAACAAAGAACGCTCACCTGATACAATTCGTTTCATCTGTGCGAAGCAGGATTGCTCGGCACTCGCCTTGGAGGCAAAGCAGCCAGCGCCTCGGGCAGTTCAAGGCAGCCAGCACCTAGCTGCCCCAAGAGGTCCTCCCAAATGTAGTCGCAGCAAGTGCCTGGTGACTGACACTGCAGTAACTGGCGACCACATCTGTCATTCTATGTGACGTTTGCATCCAAAAGCCATCCCGAACAGGGGTGGGTGATCAAGGAATAAGCCTGCTGAAGATACAACAAATACATATTATACATACACATATGCGAATCGAGCAGTTTCAGGCTTGACACCCAACGTAAAGAGCACGCAATGTAGTACTTCATTATATATCCATGGGTTGTTGATGAGTGCCCAATAGAAGTCCAGTAGTCTAGGGCAGTCCATTAGTGACCCAAGCGAACCTTTTGGAAGCGGAAGCTCCAAAGGTGGAAAGTCCCTCAGCGAAGCACGTGATGGGACAACTGAGATGCTAAGCTCCTGAAGTTTCTGGTTCTACCCAGATCTTTCAACGGGTCGGTTTGTGATAGGAGCTCTGGGATCGGCATGTGGAGCTCGACTCTCCAGAGATTCAACTTCAGGCTGTTCCGCTGAATCGGACGAAACGAACTAGGCCCAAAGTTCCGGTGAAAGAGTCCCGGTGGAGTGGAGAGGAAGATGCCATTTGGAACTGCTCTTTTGCTTGTGGTGTCTCTTCGCTCCATGCAGCCTCCACAAAATCGGCACATGGAGGTGAAGACCCTTCTCTACGGACTGGAGTGAAGCTAATTATCCGGAAGTCATCCACACTGTATACATAAATATATATATATACATGAAATCAATATGAAATCGTCAAGAGGTGTAGGGAAATTAGCATAGAAGAGGTATTCCATTCTGGAAGTTGGAGGGACAGAGGTGAAGGCATCTGAACAAGAAGCCACCAACAAAGGACAAACCAAATGTGGTCAAACATAGAACCTATATGGGATGAAAAGCTATACTCTCTCGCCCACCCGGGCCTGGGTCAACAGGCTTGCTCCGACCTCGGTCAAACTGAATCAATCTGACTAACCAAATGAATTGAAGCACATCCACGTCCAACCCACACCAAAACTGAGCAGTATAAATGCAGCATACAGGCAAGCTTGCTCGGGAATTCTTCACTATCCAAACGGCAGTGGGCCAAATATCAAAACTGGGGCTCGCCCCCCCCCAAACAAAAAGGACAGGTGCTCTTGGGAGATGATTCTTGCGCAACACATGTAGCAAAAACAACGTGTTGCAGCAAGTTCTGCTTCAAATGCCTCCAACACTTAGGTTTTGAGCCAATTTGCTTGTCAAATGGATGCCAAAAACATACAAAACAACTCAAAAGAATATGTCTATTGCTCCAGCAGGGTGCAAAGAAATATGTCTTGCTCAACTCTACTCTTTAGTGTGTTTCAACATTGGGCACCAAAAGCAAAGCTCCTTCCGTCTTCACAAGGTGTTTTCTTGCTCAAGTTGCTTTGTCTGGTTTAGCTCCTTCAGGTGCAAGAAGCTTGATGAACAAGCTACAACATATTATATATATATGTGTGTGTGTGCTGTGGTTTGCTTGTCATAGCTCTTGTTTCTCTCGGCTTGGGCAGGGTGCCAGCCAAACTCATACAGCAATTAAGTCTGTGTTATTTGGACAACCTTTTGCCTATGGTGCATAGAAATCTTCAAGTGCCAATGTTCCTACTTTAATACCGCTGTTATTTCTAAACCTGTTTAGACCAGGAAAAGCTTGTTGAGAAAATAGAACATCAAAGATTCTCAAAGAATACGTATGAGTGCCTGCCGAAACGTACTGTCAAGCGGAGGACATGATTCAGCAAGGGTATCGGTATCGCTTTTGAGCGGATCCTAGGCCTATTCTATCGCTTTTGCAGGTCTTAGTCCAATTCCTAAAATTCAGGACAGCTCTTTACTAAATTACACGCGTTGGCGGTTGCTCATATGGAAGAATAGAAAGAGTCAATCATAAAATGAAAGTGAAATCTATTGGAGCAATATGAGATCAGGGCGAAATTGCTAAAGGAGAGTTGCGCCTCGGTCTCAATGCAGTTATTGAAATTTTGCCTGGTATTTGCGGTGCTTTTGACGGGTTTGGGATAGGAGGCCTTCTCTCACAGACCTACACCCAGCTGGAACCTCCAAATGTGCTCAATCCAAGAAGCACAGCTGCAGGAACCATCCCGGCGCGGCTTCGTAAGAAAGACTAAAGTATTGGATCCCCAACGGGTCCAAAATGGCAAACCGCTGCTCATGTGTGTCGATCCTCACGGCAGGCCGTGTGTCGCCCACATAGCGTCCTTCCAAGCTAGCATAGGAGGTGAACTCGAACCAGGTTCCACCACGCGCCGGCGGAAGAAGCACCCGGGCCACTAGAAAGTGCTCCCGACCTGCACTACCATCTGCAAATCTATGAAAATTCAACACGGAAGTTTGGACATGACATGAGTAACACTTCATGATCGTAATATATCATAACTTATCATAACATATTGTCTCTCATAAACATACGTATCCAAGTCATCATGAATCATCAAGTTGCCAGCTAGATCTGGGCATACTGCTCGAGAAAGCTCGCACGTGTGAAGCAGAAAGCTTGATTTGATTAAGCCAGCTTTGCTGTGAACCTATGCTGCCTATGCTTGCTGCTCATCCTATCGTCCATGTGTCAACTGTATTAATCTGTCAATATGCAAAATCCTCACCCACCCGGAGACAACAGGAACCACACCTTCAAGCATCACAGCGGGCCCTGCATGGTCCCCCAGCTCTGCACAAGAGCCGGAGATCCAGCAGCCAGGTCCCTCCACCTGATTCAGGGAGGCGAAAAAACAGCTAGGACCAATAGCAATTTGATGACTATGGACCGTGGATGACCGTGGATCTCAGATGAAAAACAGTTGCATGACTCGTTCTACACGAGCGAAGGCACGGAACATTACCAGAGCCTTGATTGGCAGTGTCCGACAACCGAGTGCACTTCAGCAAAGCTGGTCATGGTCTAATTAAGGGAGATTTCGCACATCAGGCGACTTACGCAGGTGAACACGGCCACCATATATTTACTGAGCTACTGTGCTATCAGATTGATCAACTGTGGATGCCGCAAAACACCCTGCACCTGCCCGCGCAGTCTCGAACCCGTTGCCCACCTTTGGTGCGAAAAAGTAGAAGGGCACACCGCTGCTGGGTGCCAGTGGCCGCCGCGTGAGGAGCTTCTCTGGAGGCCTTTGCAAGCGTAGTAGCTCTAACAATCTATTCTCGAGGCCCTTCTGCAGGTTTGCGAGAAGCGGGAGCCACAAGCAAGAGCCTCGCGAGTACTCAAGAGCCGTTGGCAGATGGGCTATGAGAGCGGCTATGATGGGCTGGGAAAGCCTTTTACAAAAAAAATAGTTCAATAATGTTCAATAGAAAATACATGAAACATAATGAAAATGCAGTTGGCCCCAAATTGTCCCTCGCACATCAAGTTGAGAAGGACCTACTGCCACACACATATAATACACACGACTGGATCGGCACTTGGTGCATAGTCTATACTTCATGTCGTCTCGCTTGAGAAAAAAAAAAACGCACCCTGTAACGACATCCGATTGATTTGGATGCAACTTGCTGCAAAGTGGTCTCTGCAGAATGCAGTATTCCTTCAAGACCTGTCGTCGTCTTGCACGCGCTTGTACAAGTGGTACTTTGTCAAAGGGTTTCTTCCCCCCACACACCCCACACCTTACAGTAGGGGTCGCCTCCAAGTCCCCCAAAGCAAGCATTGGCTGTGAGCCGAGCATGCTTGATTGTAGCTTTAAAATGCTAAAAAAATCTATATAAAAGATTTTAAAAGTAAGCAGGTGCGCAAGCTGGAAGTGAGCAGAAACCAGCAAGAGCAAGCATCCGTTTCCCAGCACCTAAACCTAGTAACCTGGTAAGGAAATACCACCTACGAGTTACTACAAAAGAAGCTCTTCAAGGGGAAGGCCACTCAGGGGCCACTCTGCAAGGTGAATTGGCCGCTCTGGAGGACCGCTCATGTTACAAAGATGTTGTTGGATCATCCACGAGGACATGATGTGCCGGTCATGACCCTCAAACCAAACCTTTGACCAGAACGGTTTCGCACCAGTCAGAAACCAATAAAGTACTCAAGCACTAGCCACCCTTGAAGGATAGGACTATCCTCATCTTCAGCCTCAAGGTCGTTATTTGTCCCGTGAATCTTCCTTGATCTCTCTCTTGAGGCAGGTGTTTGGTCGAGCTCGGGCGCAGGCTGGAAAATTCCTGAAGCAAATTGTAGAGGTCCTCCATGACCTCAATGGCATGCCGCAGCTGCGCTTCCGAGCAGGAAGTCACAGGATCAGGTCTCCATCCCAAAGCAAGAAGATGCTCGATCAGTCCAACCTGCAGAGCATTTCTTTCTCCATGCTTCCTTTTTCTACCCATCACAGTTCCAAAATCGATCAGGACATCAGTTCATTAGTTCACTCCAATCTGCTCGCTTCGTAGAGGATCATCGCCTTCCACTTGTCAGTGTGCACGGGCTTCAGGGGTTCGGGGTTCCAGGATAGTTTGAGTCGTCTGAAGTCAACCCCGGGTCTCGTTTCAAGTCCAACCAGAATCAACCTCCGACTCCCCCAACTCAACACTCCCGCCTTCGCCCGGTCAGGATGTTGTGAGAAGTCATGGACGGCCGATCTCATCTTCTGGCTTCTCCCAGACAGGAAGCCATACCTTGCCGGGAAGCAAAATTGTCGCAAACAACTCTGGGGAAGCTAAAGGACGCTGTGATACTAATCGGTCTCCAGCGAAGACCTTTGCTGTCCAAAGTTTCACAGAATACCGCATGCACGGATTAAATATGCCCTCCCTGAATACATTCCCCACTTTCTTTCAAGCACCAACTTGCATGCGTGGAATCTCTTGGAACACTAATCACTGAATTGCCCTATCAGCACCCTGGCCCTTTGAGCAAGCTGCAACGAAGATGTTTGGCGGAACATGAAAGCTAGGAACGGAGTTCTGACAGAGTCCTGGCAAAACGCAGGTCTCGATCCCGATGCTGCCGGCCCCTCGCGACTGCAGCAAGATCCAACTTTGTTTTGAGGGCTCCCCGATGTGTCTACTCACTACTCTACACCGATCTTGGCCTACACGTGGGCCTCGCAACCTAGAGCATTCTTAAACTGACAAAGCAGGTTGAGGTTTTGACTGATTCGTTCTTGCTGAAGACTTCTTAATGTAGAGCAGAAAGCAAAGGTTTCACCAAGAACGCGCGGTGCAACTCTCTAATGTGTTGCTGTGATCCACGACGACCACGTCAACGAGGACGACGATGATGACGACGCGACGACGACAAGAAGAAAAAGCCAACATGTACTATGGCGTGATGAATCTTCATTCAGCACCCCCTGGAAAATGTCTTTGACGCCCTGGTATTGAATCTTGATCTAGTCAAAATCAAGATTCAAGGCCGTCGTTGGACTTTTTGTCTCCTCAGCTTCTGCATGGCCGCTTAAATCTGAAGGCTGGCTCATGGCGGCATCAGAAGATTGCAACATGTCAATGACCGGGATACTTACTTTGTCCCAGGGGCAGGAACTCAACCTGACCAAGCTCACGAAGCAACATCACTCACGGCCCAAGTGACCGTCTCTGCAGTGGCTGAGTGAGAAACCCTCTCAGTAAGACTACACTTCTGGGTAAAGGGCCTGACAACAGACTTGGCTATCCTCGGGCCACGCGCCTGCAAAGTCATGACGTAAGCTGCACAAAAGGATACGAAACTCAAGACTCAAGACACTTTACCGTCTGCAATAGTAAGGGTTGTAGTAATATGATGTAATATGTAGTAATTAGGGGTGTCTTGGCAGTTCCGCGCAGTTCCTGTGTTCGTTCATGAAGACATCTTTGAGGACGGTGTGAGTCAGCAACGGGCGCGTGATTGGTGGTCCCATGTTTGGCCAGCCTCACCCCACTTGCAGAGAAACGAGAGCTTGCGGTTTTGTCAAAATTGTGGGCGTAAAGGCTAAATTTGGCACCTGTTCTAGCAGCATTTCGAATCCTTTGCCAAATGGGATTTGCCCTTGAGAGTTTGCTGGTTGGGTTTAGCAATTGGAAGCACAAGACGTTCTTCGATTCAAGGACTCGAAGCTCGTGGTTCCAGAACAGCACAGAGGATGAACAATAAATTTAACGATTTAACATGATTTAACCTAAATTTCAAAACCATCAAACCACCACCTTGGCAAGATATATCCTTGCGCGCTAGGGTTCGTAGCACGTCCGGCTGTCCAGTCCAGAAGGCATAAATGTTGTGCAAGATCGTCCGAAATCTGAAGCTGCGCTTCGCAATGTTTTCCTCTTCCGGATGCAGTGGATGCAGTGGCGGAACTGTGCCAGGCAACTGAAACGGATCGAATTCGACCAAAACCTCCGCAACCTCTGCTGCGGAATCTATACCTAACCTAAACCAAAAGAAAACATGCGCGAGGGTGCACACGCTCGCCACCGCGTAAACCGCAGCTCCAAGAAGCCCCTTCAGGCGGGAAGCGCCTGAGGGGGTTTCATCGGCCGTTTCACCGATGTGCAGGAAAGGAATGGGTGGTGTCTTCGTCCCACCCTTCATCGAATTTACCGGGCAAAGCAAGGCCAGGCCCTGCCACGGGGGCGACGATCTGTACGCTGCCTCCACCTCAAGGGAAAATCTCCTTGTTTGAAGCCTGGCAACAGCCCCAGCAAACGAGGTAAGTTGGGCTTTGACTTTGCACAGGTGTAAGCCGGCTAACAAATGATATGGTGGCTTGTGGTTGCTTAGGCTCCCTCAAGGAGCTACTGGAAGAATCTAAGACTGACAAATGCTGCGTGAACATGTCATCGCTCTTCTTGAACCTTTACCCTATGCTTAGCGATCAATGCCTCGACTGACCCGCAATCTTGAGATCTGAAGTACCTCCTGCCATGACTTCCTCGCGGCCTCGCGTCAGTTCTCAGTTTTCCCCCGACCTCATGGGTCACGTTGGCCTGATTGGGGACCATCTCCAACAGTGCCTGGAAGAAGGGCTCGTCCTCCAAGGGAAAGGACTTCTGGGAATTGCAGCGGCCGCACTTGGAGCGGACCTAGGAGTTGGCACGTTTGCCGAGAAGGATAGAGAAGGTGCTGTCATGCCGTGGCAACGCTTCGGATGGGTGCTTTACTGTTGACCCTTGGTGAAACAAATAAATCCTGGAGTCCTGGAGCTTCTGTTGGGCCCGAAAAAGAAGTAGGACATGAGGAGAGCAACATTGTTGTGATGGGATATATATAATAACAGGGATCCGTGTGGAAGGTATATGAGGCAGTTCTCCGGTTAAGTCGAGTTGTTCCAGGTTCGTGCATTGGTTAGCTTCCTGTCCCCTGCTCTTTGCACAGAACTGAAGAGTTACCTGTGGTCTATGGTTGCGAATTGTGGCTCTGTTGTCTAGCTTGCCTTGACAGCCAATTCTCCAGCCTCCATCTCAGTGTCCTGCACAATGCAGTAACTGGACCATTGGCCAATAATTAGCTCAGGTAAGCACATGTTGCGATGGAACGTTAAGTTGCCCTACATAAGGGAGCCAGCCTACTATATATTTGCATCCGTATACTACGGTATATGACTAACACGAAGCAACAAAATATTTCAAAATCTTGACACTCAACTCAACCGCTTCTCTTTTGTCGAGACCCTCTTCCTGTAGACTGTAGTATTATGTTGGGCGATGGCAGCCATACATGGCCAACCATCAAATAGTTTGTTTTTTGAAAAAGAAGAAGAAAAAAAACAAAATAAAAAGCAAATGAAAATGCAAAAACAAAGCAAAAAGCAAAACAAAGCAAAACAAAAGCAAATAACAAAGCAAAAACAAAGCGCAATAATAGGCAAAAAAAGCAACAAAATGTAGCTGTGCATATTTGTCGCTTTTTTTTCGCTTTGTTTTCTCTTTTTTTCGCTTTTTTCCTAGAAGGGTACAGCAAAAACAAAAGCAAAAAAAAGCTGTACCCTCCTAGGAAAAAAGCGAAAAAAAGTGAAAATAAAGCGAAAATAATGCGGAAAAAAAAGTGGAAAAAAAACGACAAATACGCACAGCTACATTTTTTGCTTTTTTGTTTGCTTTGCCTTTTGCTTTTTTTGCTTTGTTTTTGCTTTATAAAACTATTTTGGCTCCTTGTATCTATGGCTGGCGTGCCCGACATGACTGTAGTAGTGAATGCACATCAATTCATGATGCGCTTGCTCCTGATCAGACCTCCAGAGATATGGCTCAAAATGACATTCTATATATATACAGTAGATATTGCCGATCAAATAACCTAGTTGGACAGCGTCCCAACTTCCCTGCATCAAATGCGCCACCACCCTATGCCATGTCACACAGCTTTTGCATTCGTAGGACTGGGCATTTGCTGCGCATTTGGACAAGCACTTCTTAATGGTGCAGTCCACCTTATCACCGAAGCCTCAATGCCATCGGCAGAACTGAATCCACCCTCATCCAGTCTTGCCAAAAGCTGTGAAACCATCTGGACACCTTCATCTTCAAAACCGGGCCGTGCATCCCAGGAGCAAACAGCACAATTGTAGCTCATCCCCCTTCCCCTCAGGCATTGTGTGGCACACCTAGGCACAAGTACCAACAGTCAAGAAGGCGTCCGCAAATTATGCACAACTACTGAGAAAGGTCTACCTTTGCTGCTACTGGCACCCAAAAAGATCAATCATGGTCAATGGCCAATTAAATAAGTTGAGTGTGAAATTGCAAAGAACACAAAGTCTTTGCATTAGAACATCTGCTTCCAATCAATTGCCGGAATTTCTTCACGGCCTCCTCTTCCTCCCATTAAACCTCGGCGAAAAGGCGCCGTTTGCGGTTGGGTTGGGTGTAGCACTGTGTGCCACAGCTCTTTAAAGCTGATTGGTCTTCCCAGCAGCCTCCGGAGCGCTCTTGCGGCCTTAACACCCAAACAAACGAACCAAGCAGCCAGCTACCTAGCTAACCAAATAACAAACTAGCTAACTTAGCTAACTAATTGAGTACATAAGTAGCTCACAAACTCACTATCTACATAACTAGCAACATCTTCGCTTTGAACCTGGCTGCTCAGAGCTGTGGGGCTCCGTCTTGGCGGTTTCATTGGATGTCCTTGTGCGAGTGACGTCCGGCGCCGTCCAAATGAATAGCATCTGAGGTTGGCACAATGTCATGGAAAAAGAAACATAACAAAACACTGCCCAGCCAAACCCTACCACTCAAAGCTTTTTTGCGGCTTCTGGAACTAAGACCTGGTTTGCCGTGGTTTGCTCTCCAACCAATGTGTTGTCTAGGCTTAGACATACCTAGACCATACAGACACTGATATCACTGATTATAAATGCTCCCAAGCGTCAAAGCTGTCAACTCTTCCTTCAATGGAAAGGCGACTTCAGCCAAGACCTCTGACACGTCCTCATCAAAGTCCTCTGCTGACTTGCCCGCGTGTGCGCCTGTGGCTCTGCGGACGCGTGTCGCTCTATTCCATCTCAGCCCAGCGTTGGGGAGAAGAGCGACGGCAGCGGAGTACGAGACTCTGTCGAATGCTCTGTGACCCCCGCGGTGTGACATTCGGATGATGCACGGGTGGAGCACCCCGTAGCCGGTTGATGACACCCTGATGACTCGAGTCATGGCACCTGTGACTTGTCATGGCACCTGTGTTCTTCTCGAACTGGGCTTTTCGGCTGCAATGTTCCTGTGACTGTTACTTATTTTGCACCGAAGCCAGAATGACCCACCATTGCCATAGTGCTTGTAGATGGTGCTAACTTCCTGAAGACATGTCCCGTCTGAAAGTGTCATCTGGGTGCGTATTATTGGTTTCTTTTTGATTAGGCAAACCTCGAAGTTCTACCCCTTTTTTTTGATGGGAAAAACACAAAAACCATCAAAAACCCCTTGGACTGCGGCCGCTAGAGCCGCTAATTAGGCCCCCCCCTACGTAAACAATACTTACAGTCACGCCACTCTTGTCGCCAGACCTTCCGCTCCTTCCGCACTCCATCTATCCAAATGGCCCCGAACACCAAGGCACACAAGGAGCGAGAACAGCTCCCGCGCACACAGGTGGTGCACGTAGGGGTGGTGAAGCCCTGGCCGCACTGGCGGCGGCACACTCGCATCGCGCAGTCAAAACCTCGGGCCGATGCAGGGTCAACGCCTCAAACATCTGGTGGAGAACAGGTACACCTAGTATAGAATCCCTTCAAATCTTGCGATTTGAGGAACGAGTTCGGAGGGGAGTCTATGATGAAGAAATCTCGATTAGTGGAGATACTTTTCAAATCTGGTCAATACTTTCAAGTTCTGTGAGGCACCATAACCTCATTGCTATTGCGCCTGCCTCCAGTAGCCGCGTCAAGACTCATCTCTTGGACACACCTCTTTGAATGAAAATCTCGCCCCAACATGGTCAACTCAACGCGGCAAAAGCGCCGATACCAATCCCTTCTCTCTCATTAAACCCCGTGATATAAGCCAACTGGACGGTCTGGATGGTTTATAATAAGCCAATGTGCAGCGCTTGAAAGCATCGACCGGAAATCGAAATCAACCAGACCGCATAGTCACCCACACCAACAGCATCTAACAGCCAAGGCTCCGCTCCCCAAGCATTGGGCACAGCTGCGACTGACGCCTCGTCCAGTTAAGCACCCTGAGACACAGCTGCCGCGGTCTGGGCGGCTGGCGCAGGGACGGCCGCAGGCCTGGAGTGATGGTTTGTTGTCCTTGGCAGGTGCGGGGAACCAGCACAGCTGAGACGTTGGGATTGTAAGGACTTCTTGGGACCAGGGAATATATAGTTGATCGATAAAAAGAGCAAATTGCGCTCAGTCCTTCAGGATTCTGAAATTGATTGGGCTCTGGCCATTCATCTGGTCTCGGGCTCAGTCCATAATAGCTTCACTGTTTCTGTGACTTGATGGGACAAGAACGGAGACAGAGAATGCGCAGCAGCGGCAGCTCGCCTAACAAGCTAGCCCTCACGTGGCGCTAGGTGTTGTACAGTGCACAAATGTGCACAGTAAAATTCAAGACCAACAAAGGACGGGTCCCTACCGCACAGGTATGAATACTGTAATACTTTGCCGCATTACAGCATTACACTTCGGTTGAAACATTGTTCTGTGTGCAATATATAGTGGGAGGAGGGATGAGGATTCTGGTGAAGCTATACGGTTCTCTGATTGCTACTCGACGCCAAACGGCCCAGCCAAGCTTCGTAAAGGCAGTGACGGGCGTCCACCAAGCCAAAGGTGGCCAGAAACACGATCAGTGTCCTCTCGCTTTGGAACGGGACTCTCGGCGGCCATCATGCTGTGAACAATCCGCTCTCTTCCATGTGATGGGAAGCTATGCATAGCAAATAGCATGCTGCATGATATTCAGGTTGCTTTGGAACATGTTTTGAACCGTTTGTGCGGCCCTGTGAACCAAAGCAGGCCCCAAGGCGTTGCTGCTTCCAGCCTTTCATCCGAGGCGTTACCTCTGGAATTATCTCCCTCACGTCCCTGCAGCGCTGTCCTGAAGGCCATGGGAAAAGCGAGCACAAGGAAAGTCTCTCTACTTCTGAGCCACCAAAATGCTGATGGGCCAAGCAATGCCCCAAGACAAGGGCGGAAACATCCTGGAGATTCCTGAGGAATTCCGGGCTGGAGTTTCAATATATGTTTCAATCTGAGAGCAAACTCACGAAGCCCAAAAACACAATACAGGAAATAAATCTCCATCTCTTCAGGGTCCATGTGTCTGTCATCTTTTCTCTATTGAGGTGTACCGTCTGGGAACTTGCACGGGAATTCGCATTATCTCCAACCCCCTGGCCGCCTTTGGGAACGCAGGTATTTTCCAAAACCCTTCCACATGCCAAAGCATCATCTCATCAGCTGAGCAGCGGGACGGCTGGAAGCCATGTGCCGTTCCCTCCCAGGCCCGCCACCATGTTGGGCGGCCCGCCTCAGGCTAGGTCGAGGTGAAACAAATTGGTGTGTTCCCAAATGAGAATACACTAATACACTATGTGTTTAGTTGCACATACATTAGCATATATATATATATATACATAGATATACTGTATTCTTTTTCATTATGTTGTTTCCATCTACTGCACTGATTATGCTCAGCGTCTGATGAGGATGCCTCGCACAGCCCCCGAGGAGAGGAAGATCCGCCATTCCTCGCAAAATCCGATAGAAGAGGAGTTTCCGCTCGGGATGGCTACGATCGATTGGAGTTTGCGACCATATAAGGCAGATTAACAAATGGTACAAAACAAACGAAAAAAGAATGTAAGAGCACGTAAGGGATCGTAAGAGCTTTTTTACAGGGGCCTTTGTCTATTTCTCGTTTTTCTATTCCATGCCATTGCGCCCCCCTCCGAATTCTTAGGCTACAGTAAATCCCAGGTGAGGGCAGATGGTTGTTTGTTGATTGTCTGTTCCAAAATTGCCCATGGGATCAAAGCCAAGAGTATTGATGGAGGATGATGGAGGTGTTATTGTAACTATTCGAGTTTTCTCCGCGTACTGTGGGAGCTCCAAACAGGGCAAAAACTCCCACGACGGCATCCGCTTTCAGGAGGGGCTCCGTGATGGATTTTACCTGACCGCATTCTAGTCCTATGTGCAACCTCTTCTTTCTGAGAAATTGTCAATCAATGCATGAATGGTACGTAGTCGCAATCTGCCCATGCGCCTCCCTTTGATTACCATTGGTTACACAGGCCTGGGGGATAGACTTGGCAATGGTGTGTTATCACGTACCGTGCCACGTGTGCTCTCTTTGAAAAAGGCCTCGAATATGGCTCGGACCAACGTGATCACATCACATATTAAAAGAGGTGTCTCTTCCAGGTGCCTTGCTTAGAAAGAGCTCCAAGAAAGATCTCACCTGCGGCTTTTACCATCTTTTGCCAATGTTGGCCCCCCCCCCAAAAAAAATAACAAGTTATCTTGCCATTTTTAAGAGGGACTCTTCAAACCATCAAATATCCTGTATCTTCATAACGTATGCTCACACTTTCAGTGCCTTGTCATTCCGCAAGACTGGGCTCCCCAGTCTTCGCCGAGCTGCTCCCGTCAGGGGTCGCCGCGGGAAGCAGCGCCAGGTGGCGTTCCTAGTGGAGAGCGGTTGCTTGAGACGGTGTGAAACGGTGGAAGAAGGCGCACAGCTGCACAGCGAAACATGTGCCACATGGGCCATCCAAGGGAGATCAAGGGAGAACGCCATGGACTTGGACTATCGTGCCAAGCAATCTCAAGTTTGATGCAGTTGGCCTTGTAGTTGGTTATCTCTCCATGCTGATCAAGGCTCAAGCTGAAAAGTTACAACCTGCCATCCCCTGTTCCAACCCGACTGTACTTATACAAAGGAAAATGCGGTTGGAATGTCTCGCGTTGAGGCCACAAATCCACGAGCTACCTCGTGAAAATGTCATCCCTAGGTTGGGCACGACTGGCATATACTGGCATCAATAAGTTGCCGTCTCGTTGGATGGGGCCATCTCATTTGGATGGTGCACCTACTCGAAAGAATGCTGCGTCCAGCACATCCGCGGATCCGCGTAGACGAACAAATGATGGATGTTGAAAACGGTTCCTACTTCTGCAGTATGGTCATAAAATGGCCCATTCCTAGCAAGTCCAAGGGTCCGCGGTCGCCCTGTGGGGCTTGGAATCAGCACCATCGCACATGGGCGACCAGGTTGACCCGGTGACCCGGACGACCGTGATCCGAACGAAGAAGCTGCGATCGAAGCTGAGGGTCTGATGGACCAATCTTCTGCTATTCAAAGGTCTGCGCGCCTCTTCAATTGGGTGCAATGGTATCAGGTACTATATATATATATATATATATGTATATTGTATTACAATCACGTTCTCTCGTGAGCTTTGAACAAAGCTCACAGGACATTCG